TTCAGGGTTGGGGTTGAGGTCCAGGGTGTCCAGGGTTCGGCGAGTAGCATGGTCGTTGTTACCCTCCCCCCCCCCGGCTTCGCCCAAAGTCCGCGCAAAACTGCCTCACTGCTTATTCTTGCTGACTGCCACCGGAAATCTTAACCTTGGCAGGCATCGCAACTTGGCCGCAGCCCCCAAGGCATTGCCGGGCCGACCAAAGCCTCGCCCTTTCCAAACAAAAGACCCGCAGGCCAGATGGTTTTGCGTTTCAAGGCTTGGGTTGCGGGAAATTGGGGGACCCCGGGGACCGCCGTTCGAGGTCGCCTTCACCGAAGTCCCAAGTGGTCAAGCATTGTATGTGTTTGCAGTTATGTTGGAGGTCAAGTTGAAAGGTCAGCCCCGAAAAGCCGCGGGCGACATGCCTCCTATGAGTGTATCATCCAAATGGTCCACTGGGGCTTTGCATAGCTACTTCTTGGGGCCCTGAGTGGGGCACCTCAAGCATTGCCGGGCCTACTCGTGCATTGAATCTGAGACAGCAGGCTCCACTCTCCAAAACATTCCGCAACCTTATGCCAAGTACTTTCGGTACTCGCAGTGCTCTCCCGCATTTTTCTTTGGATGGAGGATGTGCTGTCGCAACCTTGCCGCGCCTCTGCCAAGAAGAAACGTGGCTTCCCTAGCTTGCGATTTAGGTAATTTACTTGTTAAGGCTTTAACAATTGCCAAGCTTGTGTGTTGCTCAGGGTATTGGGTTTGTTCGTTTGGATGAATGAATGGCTTTGCACCCATCTCAGCGCCATACGCCCGAAGCGCATGAGTAAGGCGTAGACATAACTTCTGCAGAGTCTTTTTTTCCATCTTTGGTAGCCCGCTCTCAAGTTTGACAGGCATAAAAACCCATGACTGAAACGGCCGGCGGTTGCTGCAGTCTAGCGCACCGGAGAAAGCTATGCAGATCTAAGCCCTCACTCGTCCTCAGACTCGCCTCTTCTTGGACCTTTTTTTCGGAGTGGCAAGTTATGAAGGCCCCGAAAGCTGGTAGGTGGTGAGCACGAACGGAGGGCTGCGAGTGGAAATGGAGCAAGATGTATCGCAGATCCTGGCCTAGACATGCCGAATGTTACAAACTGGACTGCTTCGGAGGCTTTTTGGGTTTGGCTTTGTTTGCCTGGGGTCAAAACGCTCAATGCTTGATTGGAGGGCTCTTGAATGAGAACTTGAGCAAAGTCGAGCCAACTGTAACTGCAGTTTTTGCAAGAAGTTTTCTTTCTTCGTGCAAAGTGCATCATCACTGCTTGACCCCGTGGTGGGAGATTCTGCCTCCACTTGAGAGTGAACACAGCTGTGGGGAGTGGTTCTGGCATCCCGTTTTGCGGCAAAGCTCTCCGATGTTGGCTCCAACAAATTGGCGTATCCTCGATCCGGATGGGGCCTGTTTCTGATGCGTTCCGGTCTTGAAGTTTGTTCTGCTTTTGGGTGCCGCCTGCGACCCTTCCCCAAACACGCTGATGAGGGCTGGGTGCGAGCTGCCCCTTCGCAACATTTCGCAACATGACGTCGGCTCATCACCGCGACCCAGAATGCTGCAGGTGCTGAGGCATGTTGCTGCAGAAACTCATCTATCTGGCTCGAGCATGGTCTTTATCTCAAGAACACACACACACACAGACTTGTCTCGCAAAACGGAAGCCCCAGCTTTGAACCCCAGGAGCTCTTGAGGCTCCTCTTCGGCGACCCCCGGAGGTGACGGTATGGTGGGGTATTGCCACGGTATTGATGCTTTACCTGAAGCCCTGAAGCCACCTGAAGCCACCTGAAGCACCTGAAGCAAACCTTCAGTGCTTTGAAATTTGTATTGTCAGAGCCAGAGTTGTATTGTCAGAGCAAGAGCCTGAAGTGAGCGCTGAAGTCGCTGGTGAGCAAACCTGTTAACATGTTCTGTGTCGAGGCGACAGATGTCGAGCGCTGGCTGACAGTGGGTTTCCAGCTGCTTGCCCTGCAAGTCACTATCTCGAACCTCGAACATCCTCGAGCATCCTCGAGCATCCTCGAACATCCTCGAACATCCTCGAACCTCTCTTCAATCGATTGCTGATGTTCAAAAAGGCACGATACTCTGGATTGAACAGAACCGAGAGCAAAAAAGCTGAATTCATACGCCCTTTCGTGTGGGACGTAACGGGCATCTGCGGTGCGCAAGTCTCGCACGTAAGAGGGCTGACGTGGGTCATCACAGGCCACAGCAATTCCAAACTCGTTGTGTAGTCATGCGTACCCTCACCCAAACTCATAAGCCCTCAGGCGAGTACGTACTTGGAACGCGACAAAGTTTAGGCAATGAAGCCCTTGCTGCGAGCCCTTGCTGCAAGCCCAGGTGGAGCCAGCGCGCAGGCCTCGAGTGGGGCCTTTGGCAGAAGCAGGGTGGGCCGTGCCGCTTGGGCGAGTTGGCAGGATTGTGGATGATTTTAGAACTGGGCTAAAGGATTAAGTATTGAATGATTGCAATCATTGAAGTTGAAGTGTTTGAGTAGCTGTGTTCTGCCTTGCTCCTCGTAGCCTTCCAGCAGTCGGGCGTGAAGTGCCAGGCATCCCCTGAATCTCCATTCCCCAAGGTCTCAGGCACCCGACTTCCGGGTCGGCTCACAGGTCCAGCAGCATATTTGAGAAGCTTCCTGGAAGCCTGCTGCAACCTAGGTGGTGTCTTCGCACCAGTTCAGGCCCGCCATAATTCGAAGGTTTCTCCAGAATAGCTGTACGTGGCAGGGATCTTGATGCTCTGTCTGATCGAGGTCGTTTTCTAAGTTAACAAGCAAGTCAACGAGTCAGAGCGTGAACAAGAACCATCCGCTCGCATCGGACACCTTACTTTTCCGTACTATCGCCATGGTTATTGCTGCTGTTGTTGCAATTTTTTCATAGATGGTCATGTCATTGCTACTTGTTTCATGTAAATGGCTTAGTGGTTTGTTTTGCGACGATGGACGCAGATACTTGTCTTAAGTGAGTTGTCCCTTCTTTACTGTCGTTCTTCTTATCTTATTGGTCCCTGTCTTATCTTGCATCCTATTTTAGTTTTGCTGAAAAAAGAGAGAGAAGGCGTGCCAGAGACGCAAGCGTGCTAACTCGAGGAGTCGAAAGAAGAATAGACAAGTAAAGCGAGATAAGAGCAGGAGAGTAGCAGGAGGGAGGAAGAGAGAGCGAGTGAGAGAGCGAGAGGGCGAGAGACAGCGAGAGAGAGTGAGAGAGGCAGAGAGCGAGAGATAAGGAGAGCAGCAAACTGATGTAAGTTTTGGGACCGCCCGCTCGTTGCTAACCGGGAAGCTCACCGGGCTGACGAAGAAGGATGTAAGGTGTCAGCACAAAGCGATCCCATCAGCTGTCTCACCAGCGCTGGCGAGCGGCGGATGTCGCTGCCACCTTCTGTACTTTAAGTCTTGCTCGTTTTCTGTGCTTTCTTATGTTCAATACGCAACATCAACGTCAACGGCGGGAGGGCTGGGCATTCAGATTTTGTTTCATTAGGTGCGCAGCTGATTTTATCATGGTTGGGGGCGGGGTATGTTGCCACTCGGGGGCCGGCATGGCAGGTTCTGCTTCCGAACCGTATGAAACTTTCGATACTTGTTTCATGCAGACGGGATAAGCAGCAGTCAAGCCTCAACCACCTAGAAGAACTGGTGTGACAGGCCTTCGTTGTGAAACAGCTGCTGTTTGGAGCTGGTGAGTCGGAACCGGCCGTCGAGCGACAGAAGGCCTAAAAATTGAGGGCTTAGCGGGAATCTGGAGTACCTTGAGTTGTTCCTGGCCCTTCTTTTCAATGAAGCGGCTTGGCATGCTCATGCGACAGTCTCTAAGCCTCAAAGATCTTGAGCCCGTTTCGACACAGCTTCGCTTAACTGCTGTTTGCAGGAGCAGCCGATGGCAAGTCTTGGTGCAGATGATGAGGAAGCCTGCAACGGACCACCCCTAAGAAAGTCACAAGCTTGCCAGGCCGCAGGCAGCAGACAGAAAATGGAATCAAAGCCTGCGTGCATATACGTGCATCGTAGCGTTTGTGCACCTGGTGCTGTAGATGCTTCAGCCCTTTTTCCAGCCATCTTTCCAGGATGCACGCGCAGCGGTCCTCGCCCACGCGCTGACTTCGATCCTGTTTCACTGCTGCCCGAGCTCCTCCTACATGATCTGCCAGGCCCCTTAAGGCTAGGTTGAAGACTTCGTAGATGACAGGCTCGACCTCCGAGCTTAGGAACAGCCTTAGCGAAGTTCTGTGCCCTCCACCACCCCAGCAAAGTCAGAGGTCCGACCCCGGGCAGAGGGGGAGGGCGAGACAGCTGCTATCGCAGCGGCGGCACCGGCCATAATCGCAGCCGGAGCCTTGAGGGTCATGAGTCTGACGTGAACATTGCTTAACATTGCTTAGCATGCTTAGATTCGGTGGAAGGTTGCCACAGCTTTCAGGGGTTTAGGAGTTGTGCAGAAGTTTCGTGATTTCCTATTTCTTTCAGACCTTAAAAAACACCAATGCAAAGGACCCCCCCCCCCCCCCCATGAAACCTTGGAACCTGCAGACTCATAGTATTGACAGGAGAGGGCGCCAGCGCCTTGGCGATCACATCGCGGAAGCTGAGCCGTGCAGCGGAGGTCAGGCTGCTCCTGGAAACAGGCCCCCCACGCTGGCACATTCCTGCGGTCATGTGCATCCCTTCGCCCCCTACGTTCCCCACATGCCGTGGGTTCAGCAGAAAGCATCCTGCATGATAAGCCCATCCATCCACCTAGTCACCTAGTCACCTTCAAACAAAAGCCTCCAATCCACAGGAGCTGACAGCTGGCTTGCGGGGCCCCTGGGTGTGCTTAGCTTCCTCTGCTCAGTGCTAAGCACTCGCGGCGTATCCTCTGTGCGGGAGGCGCGGTGGCGCATTCAGGGTGTTTCCGGAGTCTTGTGTGTGCCTGTCCCATATCTCAGAGATTCCCAAAGTCACTTTGGCAAAGTGCGAATTCTAGCCAGAGAGGATATGGATGATCCCAGCACGCCGCTCATTGGACGGTTTGGCCACTGCAGTCAGGAGCTGCATCTGCTTGGATTTTGCAGTGCATGCACTAAAGAAGTAGTCACCTGAGGCGCAGCCTGCCACTGCAACTGTGGCAGGCTGCTTCTGTTGCACCTCCAGGTCTACCTGGAGCAAGCGTTGGTGAAGATTGAAGCAGCAAGATGCTACAAACAAGTAGACAACGTCCGTCAGCATGCCTGACAGGTGGTGCGTCCGTGCGTTATGCTTAGCTTCGATCTGTCTATCGCAGAAGTTTTGCGAGAAGTTTCTCATCATCAGATACCCGAAGCGTCGAGCTGTATCAGAACCGGGCCGGCCCAACGGGAGGTGCAAGTCTGCAGTCCAAGCGGTCCCGGAGTTTCCAGTGACACTACGGCGCACGGTCGGGGGTATGTCGGGTTGCAGATGCAGAGTCGAGGAGAAACATGCGCCCCAGCGTAAGTGAGCTTGGGCGACGTAGGCCCCCTGTCGCCCTGTGTGCCATAATGGACAGGAAAGGCTTGCAGTGGCTGGCGGTGCAAAACTTTCGCTTCGCTTGATGCAGGCGGAGCTTAGGTGGGGTGGGGTTGAGCTTGCCATCAAGAAGCTTGATCTTCCGCCCGCTCGCGGGAAGGTTGCCAAGCAACACGATGGACTTCTTGTCCATGCTCGTGACGCCTAGCGCGGATCATGGGCATTCTAGGATTTTCGTTTTCTTTGGGTGTTCGAATTTGAAAATGAACGAGGAGCAGACTTGAAGGAGCACCCATGACTTGGACAAGACATTTGAGCAAAGCCATCAGCAATCCACCTAGAAAGATGTTTTGTTGGAGCAGCGTCGAATTCAAGTCGCTTGCGACCCAGAATTGTTTTGCAGGGCTTCTGACTTCCAATGAAAAACAAACCCCCTGCAGGAGCTGGTCAACCTAATGCTGATAGGGGAGGCCACCTCGAATCCCGGGCCTTGATTGGCGAGCGGAGATGGGGAGAGTACGCAGAGTGTCTGTAGCATAGAGTCATATAGAGTCCTTGTATCTGGTATGCAGTATGTGCGGGTACTTATTTAAGGGGCTGCGCCCATGGGCAGGCAGCGCAGGCAGAAGCTCGAGGAGAGTTGTTCTGCAAACCTCGGATCGCGCGGGTTTAGCGACAGAGGGAAAGCTTATGCACGTGTGGGCCGCCGCGTCATCAAGGCCGGAGCCGCTGATGCTCATGATGCGCGCCCGGCATCCCGGACTGGGGCCGCTGATGCTCCTGATGCGCGCTTGGGGCTCCCGGACTGAGCCCGCTGATGCTCGTGATGCGCTCCCATGGGGACCTTTGGGTGTCCGGGGTTATCTCATTTTGCGCAAAAAACAACGTTCACCGGCGGCACGGCGGTCGGCGGCACTGGCGTCCAGCCTTATTGTGCTTCGCACAAGGCAAGCTTGCACGGGAGTCACCCGTGCCATTGGCAGGTCCGCGCCAGGCTGCAAGGGCCATGGCGCTGCCCGACTTTAAGGGGCTGCGTCCAGGGGGGCGGGCAATGCCCCGAGGAGGCAGAGGCATGCGGCGCAGGCGCGTGGCGGCTCTTGAAAGAGTGCAGCAGACGGCCGGACAAGAAGGCCCAAGCGCCCCGAAGAAAAAAACAGCTCCCAAAGCGTGGGCGCAGCGTGGCGCGCGCCGGCGCGCGTGCGCGCGCGTGCAAGACAAGCTGCGCGAGCCGGAACAAAGTCTCACACCTCCTCCGACAGAGGCATCACGAGCATCATTGGCTCCGTTCCTCCGGGCCCTCCCCCCCCCAGTATCATGAGCATCATTGGGCCAGCGCTTCTCCTTCTTGGGGCCATCGGCACCCCTCCCAAAAGGCATGAAAACCCCAAAAACGCCTGCCGAGGCGGGATTTGGAGCCCCTCTTCCCGAAATAGCGACGCCGCTGATGCTCATGATGCTCACCGGGGCCCACCCAAAAGCACCCTTCTTCAGGTCAAAGCTCAAAACCATCGGTATGGGCGACGTTTAGGAATGCTTTTTGAAGATTTTGAAGGTGCTCTCGCCTCCCCGCCCCGACCCGGCCCGGTCCGGAAGGAGACCGCGGAGGTTGATGGTCTCGGGGGGCGGGGTCGGCGGCACTGCACGCCGGCTCATTGCTAAAGCAAAGGCCCGATTTTAAGGGGGCTGCGCCCATGGGCGGGCAGCGCAGGCAGAAGCGCGGGGCGAGCAGATCCGTCACAGGGTTGGGGTTTCTCTAAGCCTGAGACACGTGAGTGGAAGGAAGGATGTGTGCGGTCATGAGGAGACGATCGTGAGTGGAAGGATGGTCATGAGGAGATGATGGTGAGGGGAAAGAGCTGAAAACAAATTGAATACATAGATCTTTGGGGGGAGGAGGGGGGGTGCCATACATATTGACAATATTATATATATATATATGGTACCCCCCCCAGTTATCCACACCTTTTCTGCTTGTTTTGCGTTTTTCTTGTTCCGTATTTCTTGTTTTCGTTCGTAATTTGTTTTCTTTGCCCCAGCGTGTTGATTATATTTTCCTTCTTCCTTAGTTAAAAGAACACGACTCCCGAGCCCCCTTCAGGGTAGCCCTTAGCAACCTGTAAGACTAGTGTGTCTCACTTGCCCAGGTCCGACTTCACCGACATCTTTGGCTCAAGACGGAAAAGACACAGTCTTGTAGTGAAGCCCCTTTCTGTTCAGGTTGGGTTGAGGTTTCGTCTGTTGCCTCTTCCCTTGGGATCACCTCCCTCCTGTGTTTGGGGCTCACTTAACTGGTTATCAGCCGTAGCTTTAAGCTGCGGTTGTGAGACCGTTTTGGGTGCAGCCTTTGGCGCACCAAGTGTCGTGTCACTTTCCCGGGGTTCATGCAACAACAGCCTCCGCAACCAACTCGCGGTACCCGGGGAGGAGTAAAGACACGAAAGCGCGACTATTATCAGAACCAGGACCTCGTGATTGACCAGGCCTGGCAGATATTTAGAGCGAGCTTGTCGCGCATACCGTGGGACCACGCCACAGCCGAACTTTCCAACTTGCTGAGCACCTTCGCGGAGGAGTTTGAAGTGGACGCTTCGGTTCATAGCCTTCGGGCCCTCACCGTGTGGGGACAGCTGGCGCGCTACTATCGCCCATTGCGGCGCCTTGAGCACGCGCAGCGGGCAGGCATTGGTCGTTACGATCCCGTTCCGAAACCAAGGGCCAAGGCAGCAGCAAAGGCCGCAGCTCCTGCGCGGCAAGGGCCAGGACCAGCACCTGCGGACACTGTCCAGGGTGCTGCTCCAAGCGCACCGGCAGTGGCCGCAGGTGCACCTGTTGCTCTTGCAGCGCCGGAGCCGGCCGCACCGCACGCTGAAGCGCCCGAGGCCCCTGACGCATCGCCTGACGAAGCACCGGAACTTGAGCGCGCAGGTGGCAACGTTGACGACGAGGTGAGTTCATCGCAGCCAACGGTTAGTGTGGAGGAGCACGTCGCCCCTGAAAGTGCGGTCGAAGACGTAGGAGTTGCGCATCAGGAAGGAGGTGAGGAAGAGGAGCTGGATCAGGACGAAGAAGTGAAGTCTGAGCCTGAGAGCATTTATCAGCCGCTTCGCCCTGGTTCGGGTTCTCCTAGATCTAGGTCCCCCCCGGGTGACCCTAAGGCCTCCTCCTCAAGCCGTTTAAGTGCACGTGGTCAACCCCTAATCCTCCATCCTCCGACCAAAGCCTTTCCTACTGTGAGGATCGATTCCTCGGGAGTGTGGGTCAGGCAGTCAGGACCACCCTCAGTTCCTGTCGCCATAACTGACCCACATCCTCAGAACGAAGGGGAAACAAGCTCACAGGAGTTCAGTGGTGAGGAGCACGAGCTCCCTGACGAGGCTTGGTTATATCCTGCGTCCTATAGACGCTCACATCGTCAGCCTGGTGTTCCTCGCGGCGTAGAACAACACACCATAGGAACTGCCGAAGAAGACGCCACCTTTGGCGAGCAGCAGGCAAAAGGTTCCAGGCGTAGGCCCGCGTCCGCCCCTCTCCCTTCCACCAAGGTCCGGCGCACCGAGTCTCCTGCAACCTCAAGGGTGCTGCCTAATTTGCCGCAGAACCCTGACGAGGCCCAACCTTACGAGGGCGAGATTGCTCCGCGCCTGGTTGCACCTAGGATAGCCTCCAACCCTAAGGTTACCCTAACTCAAGGTGCCAGTGCCCGCCCTCCTGCTGCAAAGGGGGTCCTTCGTGTCGCCAGAACTCCACCGCAGCCACCGCCTGCAAAGCGTCCTGCTCCACACCTTCCTTGCCGCCCAGCACAAGAGGCCGAGGCCGAGCCACTTTCGCTTTTGTCTAGGGCTACCATTTGGGCCGAGAGGGAGGCCAGAGCTGCAAAGGCCGCTTCTCCCAAGGTTGTGCTTTTGGCAAAGGGTGCTGCTGCGCCCAAAGCGCACCAAGGTCCCCAGGCTGAGGTCAAGCAAAAGGCAGGGCCAGCTCAACGCGGACGGTCCTCGTCCCCTGCAGCCGCAGCCAAGGGCACTTCCACAGGCCGTGCCAGGTCCACAGGCGATCGGACAGACAACGTTTTTGTTGCAGCCCCATTAACAGCCAGGGAGCGGGGTTCACCAACGGCAAAGGCACTTGCGCCTCAGGTAGCAGCGCCCCGTTATAAGGTACCCCCAACCGACCGTCAAGGGGTTCCCTATAAGATAGCACCCGGCCCTCCACCTAAGGCAAAGGGTGCTGCCGCAAGCGCGCCAACATATAAGGGTCCCCCTAGCGAGGTTTACTTAGCTCCCCTGCGGAAGGGTTTTACCCCGCCTGTGCCCAGGAAGGCACCGCCTGGAAGTGTTGAGCCGGTTCACGCCCAAAGGCAGGCTTACCATCATTGGCATCAGAGCCAGGCAGCGAACCCAGGTCTTGCCTCGCCTCCAACGCAGCTGCTTCCACCCAATCCAATATCTTCGCCTCCGGCCGTCAATCCAGATAGTCGAAGACCCATTACCGTTGTGCTGGATTGGAAGGATACCTTGTCCTTGGATTGGCAGGAGAAAGGGCAGAAGTTCGGTCCTAGCTTCATCGCTGACTTTCGAGACTTTGCACTGGAATTCAGGCCCATTAACGTCCAGATATTGTCGTTTACGGGTCACGCGAACGCACATACTTACGAGCAAACGTGTCTTGTGCCCGCGCAAAGGGAGCTGCTAAAAGCGCTCCAAGACATCAGTGCAAACAGCAGCGTTAGGTACCAACAGTGCTTCAGCCGCACTGGTGCAGGTGGGAAAGCAGTGCTGCTTCACACATACAGTCCGCCTACGTCGGCAATCGTCGACGACAATCTCCAAATTCTGGAGGAATCCAGTCGCACTGGCTGTTGGACCTACAGGGCGAACGAGCCAGGCACGACCAGGTCAATAGGGCACTTGCTTACACAGCTCGCGTCTGACCTGCGCCGAGTGGGGCGGCATAACGCTCCCCTAGCACGCGCGCTCACACCGAGCGAGTACGTCCGAGACCCTCGAGCAGAGCCGCGTCACAGTTGGAGGTAAAAGGTTGCCCGCTCCAGCGCCCCAGGGTGCTGCTCCCATAGCGCACCAAACCTACTTAATAGGTTAAGGGTGCTCGGGTTTAACTGCCTCCGTCTTCTTTTACCTGCTACAGCCCGGGTGGCCGAGCCCACACATCCCAATACCGTGTTGCGCCCAAAACGGGTGCTGCCCAAGAAGCACAAGCCATAAGGTTTAAAGCCTTGGGTTGGGTAGGGGTCACCTAGGTGCAAGCATCCTTCGCCAAAGGGCCGCCGCGCCCATCACATCTTTTGCGTCAGGGCCGCCGTGCCCAACACATTCTCCCTCTGCATCCGGGCCGCCACGCCCAACGCACTTCCGCTGCAGCCCCTCCATAGGGTGCTGCTCCAAGCGCACCGGGGCTTTAGGGTCCTAGTGCTTTTGGATTTGGGTTAGTGGTTTCCTGGTTGTCCATCTTTCACAACACTTT